CCTCCCATACTCTGCAAAGGGCTGCTGGAGCAGGACTGGGAAGGGAGTGTGGGGGCTGTTAGCAGAATCTGCCAAGCCTAAGGGGCCAGCTTGAAAGACATTTCTAAGGTGCTGAGTGGGGTGGCATGTGCCTGTAGTCCCAGCTACTCTGGAGGCCAAAGAGGGAGGATTGCTTTAGCCTAGGAGTTTGAGGCCATCTTGGGCAACTCAGTGAGACCCAGTCCCAAAACAAGATATTCCTAAGGAGGCCGAAGAAAAGAAGCACTCCTCACTCCCTAATCTAGATGCCTGTTCTATTAACTCAGTCATAAGGAGCCTGTGGGGACCTAGCCTGTGCCTAGGGGTCTTCAAACTGAAGCAGACTTGTAAATTGCCCAGTAGGAAGCCAAGAGGTGGAAAGGCTCACGCTCCATTCCCTGTCTCTCCCCAGGTGTGCCATTTTTCACAGTGGAGCCAAAAGATCTGGCAGTGCCACCCAATGCTCCTTTCCAACTGTCTTGCGAGGCCGTGGGTCCCCCTGAACCTGTTACCATTATCTGGTGGAAAGGAAGCACGAAGGTTGGGGGACCTACTCCCTCTCCCTCTGTTTTAAATGTAACAGGTGAGCAGCCTCAGGAGGGGGCTTTCAGTGGGAATGAGCTGAGTCCTGGAGGGTGATGAACTTGGCAGCGTTTGAATCTGCTTCAAACACTGAGTTTGCTGTTGTGAGTGTCCAGAGCAAACCCCTTGCCTGGGTACGTGAGCTGCACCATTACTAAGCTAGTTAGTCAGGTATGGTAAGCTGACTGGGTGAGCTGGTTAGTGTCGATCCTGCCATGTGTGCTTAAGGAGGGTGTGGGGCCTCATTTTGTTCACAGCAGTCTAGGCCATGCACAGCTGGCCCTGGGAGATGAATTGTATGAGACCATGGGCACCCGTCACCCTACCCCTCCCAAGGGAAGGAGCCAGAAACCAGCCCACACAGAGCTAGGGAGGAATATCTGGCAGACACTGAGAAGACAAGACTCAGGCTGCAGGGGAGTGGAGGAGGGAGGAGTAAGGGGAGGCCAGCACAAAGATACAGGGGTCTCCCCCCCAATGGCGCTTTCCAGAAATCTCCAGACGTTCTCCCAACAACAGTGTCCTTCCATACTTCCGCACAGTGGCGCCTGCACACCCACCTGGGCCCCCACATTCCTCAGGCACAAACATATATTCCTGAGGCTCGCCTGTCTGTGAAACAAAGTTTTGGGGGGTTTTTTTGTTTTGTTTTTTTTGAGTTGGAGTCTCACTCTGTCGCCCAGACTGGAGTGCGGTGGCCGCTGCCGGCCCCCGCAGCCTCGACCTGCTGGGCTCTGGCAAACCTTCTGCCTCAGCCTTCCAAGTAGCTGGAACTACAGGCACGTGCTACCATCCCCGGCTAATTTTTT